TCTACGCAGGGGTCCTACGGGGACTTGGGAGGGGTCGGGCAGATGAGCTCTTTGGGAGCTCACAGCGTGCCCCATTTCCTTCTGCAGAGGCATGGTGGGATTGCCCCGGTGCCCCAGGAGGCCTTCATAGCGAGCACTGTCGTAGCTCACAGCAGGACAAGGTACAGATACCACCACGCTTCGCTCGTTTTCTGCTTTGTCCTCCTTGGAATCTCTCGTCTCTACGGCTGGACTCTGGTCGAATTTCATGTCAGAACGCACCATGCGAGAGGTCTTGGAAGCACTGGTATCGGTACCTTCTTGTTTCCCCAGAAGTAGGCTTCACCCTCATCAGGAAAGTGGTGTGGTCTACATCATATGTTCTTTCAGCAGAGTCTGAAATTGAGTCACCGCTTCATGTGTTCTACAGTCGCGTATGTCGCGCCCGCAGCGTTGGCACATGCTGGTTGTGCGTCTAACTTCGTCGGTTGCGCTTGCGTCTAAGGATTTGTATACGGCGTCTGTGAACATGTTTGAACATACTCGCCTTGCGACATCTTATGAAGCTCCTCAATGTAGCGAATTTGCTTTGTTTTGTCAAGGGGCTGCCCCAAACATGAAACTTGACCGATTACATAGGAAGCCGCTTGCACGAATATATGGTTGGACGCTTCCACATGCCATCTACAATTTGACACCATTTGGCTCAAGTGTTGGGTCCGTTTATCTGGGCCCATATATGAGGCTCAAGTGTTGGGTCCCCGCTCTACTGGCCATCTATACTGTGGCCTACATATTGGCAGTTTCAGGCTTCTTGACAAAGCAACCCTGGACTCCAACTCGTCCAAATTTTATGTCAGGCAAGAGGAAGGCACCACCTGTTGATGAGGAGCCTGATGCCGGAGAGCTGCACTGGATTCCTCTCGGTCGACAGTTTCTTTTTGATGACCTTGTTCATTGGCAGGGCAAGGAAAGAGGCCTGAAGTTTGAGGACGTGGCGTCCCGCATTGATACTGTGGTACTCGGACCCCATGCCTCAGCAGCCTTCCCTGAGGAGTTAAAACCTTTTGTTTCGCAGTCTCTCAGCAGACGGAAGCAATATGATTTTTCTGACGTTATCACTGGCCCCGTGGGTCGGGCTTGGGCTGCTGCGGACAGCAAGGTTGTTTTCGTTGAGAACCCACATTCTCGAGTTGTGGTTGATCCAAACAGGGAGCATGGCAATGAGCCTGAAGCACTCCTGCGTCAATGCTTCCAGCGGCTCCGGCAAGACAAAGGCGCGTCACTGGCGGGCGTTGATCAGGTGAGGCCTGTGACGTTCTCTGGCGAGGATGTGCTGCTAGAGCCGGCAGAGGCAGACTGGCCGAAGCTCACAGCAGCATTGAAGACCTCGGCAGCGTTGGGACCCTTGGCTTACGAGGCAGCCAGGGACCGTGTACTCGAGCTCGTTCGGGAAGCCAAGCCTGAGCGGAGCCCGTTGACCGTGATAGGCTTTCACGATACCAACAACGAGAAGATGCGGGCCGACGGTGCTATTGTTGCGCAACGGCCTGAGCCAGACAGAATGCCTCCATTCTGCAATTTCGGCAACCAGGGGGACTTCGTAGGCGATGCGGTGGAGGGCAAGGTGCTGCTGATGCCCGGCAAAGATTTGCGCTGCATTGCAAGAGCATGGGCACAGGCTTGTGGGCAGGCTGCAGAGCAGGATTTCTTGCAACCCAAGGAGTTCGCGTACATGGAACCTGTCTCGTTTAATCGACCTTACCCTGGAGGCTACGAGGTCCGATATTGGGCTAAGCATCTGCCAAGTTCCGAGGAGAAACGGTATTCGGTATTCCAAGTCGAGTTTGCCAGGTCTTTTCTGTTGGGGCCCAAGTCCGCGCAAGAGCTCCGAGAGCCAGGTAGCTCCTGGCCTGCAGTAGACCAAGCACACGTGGACTGGGTTGCCGACAAGCTGAGGGAGGCTGGGGATGAGCTGCGTGCAGCTTCGTGATGGCTCACACATGCCGGGATGATTTGCGGGCTCCCCCCCGTCATCCAGCCTCCCTCCACTCGGGACGCTGGCGACAGCATGCAACCTGTTGCGGCGATGCTGCCCACGCCGTGAGTGCCGACGCCCGGGTCGAGCTTGGCAGCGCCGCTCCGCCGTCGTGCCTCGCGGCCGGCTCCTGGCAGCAAGCGACGTTTGGCATGGCCCAGGGGCTCCCCCCCTCCCGAAGGGAGACGGAGCCTGCGCTCCGCGCGCCCCGGCCCGAGGGCGCTGCGCACCAGGAGGCTGGTGAGGCCCCGAGACCCGGCGCCCGGAGACCAGCGAGCACTCTTCTTATGTCATCTTGTCCCTGGCCCCCCCGCTGGGCCGCGCACATGCCGCCGGTCATGATTTGCACCCCCCCCTCTTGGACACCCCCCTCTTGGCCGCTCCCGAACTTTGCTGCAGTGACCGCTGTGAGTTGCAACAGCTGCGATGTGGTCCCAACGCGCTTGCAGGCACTTGCAAGCGGTCTGCAAGCCCACCTAGCTGCTCCAAGTTTCAAGTGGGTTGCAAATCCGCAAGTTTGTTGCAGGTGGGGTCTGCGACTTGCTCAGACTTGGAGCATCTAGGCGGACGTGCAACCCAGTTGAAGGCGCCCTGCGAGTGGTTTGCATCCACCTTGCAACCGTTGCAAGTGTTGCAAGTCGAACCGACCACTTTCCCATACGGGTCCAACCGTGCTGCTGTAAGCGGCAGCCGCTCTTTCTTTGGTGTATCTTGCGGAGATTCGACGCGGATTCGACACTGGTCCGACGCGGTTTCGACACCGATAGCGGCGCGAAGCGGAGGACCAAGTCCCCCCGAAGTTGCAGCAGGACTACGGGCGCAGGGGGCATCGGGCACTCCCGCTGGGGCTCGCCCGGCTGCAGACGCTCTTCGCCATCCGAGCCCCCACACGAGCGCTTCAGGAAAAACTGCCCGCAGGGGCCGTGTGCCCACGCGCAGTACCGAGGCTCCGGGTTGCGCCCAGAGGGCCCCCCCCCCTTCAGCTAGCCCCGAGCAGGCCTCCACGAGCCCCCCGAGCAGCCCCGGGCGGCCTCCCGACCACCTTGGGGCGCGGAGCGCCCGGGGGCTGAGACCGCCCAGGGCCGCTCGGGGAGCACCCGCCGAGTCGTCCCGCCGGGACAGCCTGGGGAGGGAGCAGCGGCGTGGGCGCAGCCCGAGGCCTGGCCAGAGTCGCACGCGGCCGCGCCTCGAGACCAGCGCGCGACGTCGCAGCACAGGCAGGGCAGGTGCTATCGACGCCAGCTCGCTCCGCGGCCCCTGTTCGGGCCGGGCCGGCGCGGGCGAGGTTCCGCGGGGCCCCAGGGGGGGGGGGGGCGGGAGCGTCCGCCGCCGTCTTCTGGGGTTCACGGCGCCCGGGTACGGGGTCCCGTCGATACGCGCTCGATCCGACTCCGTGCGTACATTAGGGGCGCGCCTCAAGAGACCATCTACTTTTCGTCAGGGTACCCTGGGTTTCTTCGCCCCGCGCGATGCGCGGTGACTTCCCGCGGCCGTTGAAGGAGCTGCTGTGTTCGGGGTGCTCCGGGTTTCCCCTCAGTTGCACCTCGCCCGCGGGTTTTCAGGGTTGGGTTTCTGGAGAGGGTTTCTTGCGGCCGCGCCCGCACTGTATCGCATGCTTCGGGAGCAAATCGAGCCTTCTGTACCCTCGTAGTTCCGTCTTCAGAGCGTGCATGAGCGTGCGCCAGCGTCTGGTGCTCGATGCGATCAGGCGCCTCAGTGGTGTCGACGAGCGTCCATGTAGCGTCGATGTACCGTCGATTTAGCGTCGATTCATGTCGGTGAGCTGCGATTCGGGGGAGCCACCAAGATTGTATGGGAGGCTTCCGCGAGTTGCCGCATGAGCTTCTCGGCTGGCTAGCTCGATCCCAGGGTCTTATGTGGATGCCATTTTCTCCTGCATTCCCACGTGCATTTCGATGTGAGGCATTTCAGAAAGGGCCTTGCCTTCGAGGAATGAAGGAGTTGATATCCCTTTCCTCGGTGGAGAACAACGAAAGGTCGGCGCAAGGCGGCGGAAGTAAAACGACGCCGCCTCCGCCATGCATTCCCATTTTCCTTTTTCAGCCACGCGCAGAGGAGGGTGAGGGGTGGGGGGATGACGTCTTAGAAGCACCCCTGCTTCTTAGAAGGTGCGGGCCTTATCTGTAGGTGTAGGGCCAGCGCCTTCTGAAAAGGATCCCTCTTCCAAGAAGCCCTCGCCCCCTCCCATGGGACCACGAAGCGCTGTACTGGGTAGTGGCTGACGCGTGCGGGCGGTGCCACTGGGGCATTCGGTGGAGCTCCCTGTGGGCCCACGAAGCGCTGCACTGGGTGGTAGCTGACGCATGCGGGCGGTGCCACTGGGGCCTTCGGTGGAGCCCCCTATGGGGCCACGAGACGTTGTACTGGGTGGTGGCTGACGCATGTGGGCGGTGCCACTGGGGCCTTCGGTGGAGCCCCTACGCCTTGGGCGCGCCGCCAAATTCTGACGTGTAGTCCTGTGAGCTCCTGTAGGTTTCTCGTGGGATCCCGATGAGTCTCTTTATCAGTTTCGATGGGTCCGGACGAGTTCCGATGGGTTTCAGAGCTTCTTCATGCTCTTCTGAGTACTTCTGGCGGGCCTTCCAGTGAAAACTCGCAGGCATCTGACAACACGTGTCCTTTCCCTCGATCCCCGCTCGTACTCAGGTTCCTCCTCCCTCGGTGTCCTGGAAAGGGGAGGGCATCCGCTGCATGCTCGGGTGCACTTCGGATGCTTGGATTGTGTGCGGTAGCGTGGACAGTTAGATATAATGATCGAACGGCGGCATGCCTGACGGGGTTCTCACTGCTCCGTGTCGTTTCTCGGTGGCGCGCCTATGGGGGGAGTGAGAGGGGCTTCTCTCACACCCTCTGGCCTGCTCAGAAGACGGCGGGGGCTTCTCAGACGCCCTCTGGCCTTCTGGGGAGTCGTCTGCGTCTTCAGAAGGCCCGAGGCCTTCCGAGACTTCTGAGAGGGCCCGCCCCTTCTCATTTCCCTTCTGGGCTCGCCGCCGATGGTGGGGCGGATGGTAATGGGGGGTGACCAAAATGGGAGCTGAAGAAAAGGGCCCTAAAGGGGCACTTTAGGGCCCCTTTTTGGCACCAGTTGGCCCCAAGAGGGGCCCTAAAGGGCCACTTTAGGGCGGGCCCCATTCATCACCCCATATTTGGGTCACCCGCCATTGGCACCCGCCCAAGATAGTCATCAGGTTTGGGGAGGAATCAGATTGTTCCTCGCGTGCAGGAGGGGGTTTTCGGCATCGAGTCGCGCGGAGGTCGGTGAGTCGCGGGCACGGACGGACGGCAGCAAGACACACGAGCTCGCAACGCCGTCGATCGTGTCTGCTCCACCGCGCACCCATCGGCGCTTGGGATCAGCGCGCTCCAACGGACCATTCGCCGAATAGGCTGAGGTGTTTTCATTGTCGTGTTGACGGACAGATGGGCTCCAGTGCCGCCAGATGGGTGTGTGTTTCGGTTGCGGATGGTCTCTGAAGCAGCCGACTGGATTCTGAGGGCTCGCCGGATGTATTCCGTTTGGTACACGATGTTTCTTTTTAGTTCCAGGTGGGTTTTGATTTCGATGGTCCTAGCTCGATGCTTTTCCCCGCTGAATTGTGAAGACCTCCCTCGCCAGACGCCCAATGGAGTCCATTCGGCGCGCCGGATGGACTCTTTCCGAAAGGGCCGATACTGCGGCTATAGGCTATAACGCTCACGCCTTTTCGGGGCCTCTTGGGTCCGTCTTCGAGGTCACGTGGGCTATCTTGGCCGTCCAGCGGCGTCCACAGAGGAATCCCCGGGCGACCCGGTGGGCGTCTCCTGAGACAGCCTGGAGCGGCCAGGAGTCTAAGGCACGAGCACACGCACGCATACCCAGCTGATTTTCACGCCCCGCCCTCCCGATCGGAGGAGGAGGAGGAGGAGGAGGAGGAGGAAGAGGAGGAGGAGGAGGCCCCCCCCACACTTGCAGACAGCAGTGTAGCCCTCGAGGGGGGCCAGCTGACCCCCCTCCTCGACGTCTTTCTTCGAGGCGCGCACTCGGCGTGTTGTCATCTAGCCTCCTCGAGCACCTTAGGGTCGGCCTCCTCCTTCTCCTCCTCCTCCTCCTCCTCCTCCTCCTCCTCCATCTCCTCCTCCATCTCCTCCTCCTCCTCCTCCTCCTCCTCCTCCTCCTCCTCCTCCTCCTCCTCCATGCCCTTCTCCTCCGCCTCCTCCTCCATCTCCTCCTCCTCCTCCTCCTCCTCCTTCTCCTCCGCCTCCTCCTTCTCCTCCTCCTCCGCCTCGTCCCTCATTTCAGCAGCCGGCAGCGGTCCAAGGCATTGACGCGCTCAGGGCGGTCCGGCGGCGAGATCGGTTGGACGCATCGGTCGGAGTACCCCACTGCACCAGCGGGCCCAATCCTTCTCCACCAGGGAGGAGGAGACGAGGAGGAGGGAGGATGATGAGGAGGAGGAGGATGAGTCGAGGAGGGGGAGGATGAGGAGGATGAGTCGAGGAGGGGGAGGATGAGTCGAGGAGGATGAGTCGAGGAGGGAGGATGAGGAGGAGGAGGGAGGATGAGTCGAGGAGGGGGAGGATGAGGAGGAGCAGCTGTGAAGAATGAAGAGGTTGGGGGATTGAGGAGAACGATAGCGAGGAGGAGGGAAGGAGGAGGGAGTGAAGAGGAGGGAGGCCTGAGGAGGAGGGTTGGGTGGTCAAAGCTTGTGGGAGAAGGTTGAGGGGGCGGGCTTCAGGAGAAAGTCCTTCTAGTGACACCTCCCCCCACCTATCTCCAATTCCCCCCGTTCCCCTTTTCCACCCGTTCTCCCCATCACTCTTCCAATCCCCCTCCTTCCTCGCCTGTCCGATCCCCACCTTCTGTCCCCCCCCCTCTCTCCCCTGCATGCCCCGATCACCTCTCCCCCTCCAGTTGAACTCACCAGACCGATCCTGCCCCCCTGCGCTTCCCCCCCTCAGCGGATCCACATTGCACCCACTGGTCCAACTCACTCGACCAACCCCTCTTCCCCGATATCCGACGCGGAAGAGTACTGCGTCGTGGAAGAAGCAAGCTTCTGGAGGATTGCACATAACACAACAGCCTGCGTCTGCATGATTGGGTCTCTTGAGGGAGGACCCCTCCCGGCCTGGGCCCCACCAAATCAGACTATTCAGGGCGCGAATGTCATATTCTCCAGTGCTTCGCAGATCGGACAACTCAGGGCGTCTGAGGTCCTGGATTCTAGCTGGAAGTGGATCGATCACGAGGATCGGTCATGAGGTTAGGATGCATTCTTGGAGGTCTGATTCAGCATCGGCACTGGTACATCCGTGCTTGAAAACTTGCCTAATCCGGCACGCTCTGGTTGACTCACGCCTAATTCGGCTTCATCCTGGCTTTAATCCAGTCTGATTCGGCTTAATCGCTCCGTGACCGGGCTCAGAGGGAGAAAGAGAGAAAGAGAGAGAGAGAGAGCCGTGCAGGTCAGAGGTACACTTGCACGATGGTTAAATGAGTTGCCATGGTACAGTTCCAGGGGCCGTGGTGAAGCAGGGGCAAATAAGATTGCAATGAGTATTGGTATGTTTCTAAGTCTTTACGTTTGTCTGTTACGAAGGCCTCCCAGGAGTTGTTTCCTCGATGAGGTCCCCCCCCCCAGAGAGGCCCCGAAACGAGGCGAAGACGCCCGCCGCCATTTCCCATGACGCCCATGCCTGATGGCCCCCATGTGTCTCGGGACGATCGACACGAGTACGGACAGAATGGGTACGAATACCGACATCAAATCTTGACTGTTTTGAGCAGGAATCGCTGCCTGGTGTCTCCGCCGGCGGTGCCCATTCGAGACAGAAGGCCGCCTGCCCAACAGCGGCCGTTGTCGGTTTTGGACGACGTCTGCTGCTCGGCATCGTGCCCATTCTATCCGTACCCATTTCGGGCGTCTAATTTTGCATCTTCCCAAAATCCTCCTGTAGGAAGACATGCCTGACCTAAGTCGAAAGTTTCGTGCCGTTCCCCAGGTACCCTTTCTTTGCAGACCTGCAGACGGTTCACGGCGGCGCCGGCTGCATCTCTTGCCCTCCTCTATACCAGGGCGGCCTGCGCCACACACCGCCAGCCTCTGGATATAAGAGGCGGCCCGTACTGATACAGTGGGGACCCATGCCAAGAAACACTCTGCTTGCCTCCAGGGTGCCCTGGATTTGTTGGGTTTCGATGGTGTTGCATTGGAAAGCTTGACGGGCTCTTGCCAGGCCAGCGGCATCTGAAGACGCCTGGGAGCGGCCAATTCCCAGGCCGCGCTGGCGCGAATCGTGACGTGGCCAGGGGGAGGGGAGAGACGATAGGGGGTGGGGGGGCGGGAGGAGGAGGAGGGAGGAGGAGGAGGAGGAGGAGGAGGAGGAGGAGGGCGAGCGAGGGGTTATTATTATTATTATGAGGAGGAGGAGGAGTAGGAGGAGGAGTAGGAGGAGGAGACGGGGCGTTACTATGAGGCCCAAAACATGTACACCAACATCACCTCCCTCACCCATTGCCTCGCCCAGGGAAGAGGAGAGGCCTGGGAGGGCAGAGGAGGGAGGAGGAAGCGACGTGGTGGTGGCAGTGGCGTATATTCTTGGGGCCCGCAGTTTTATCGCGAGTGATACAAAAGCGGGCTCGACGCCTCTCACACACTCGGTCACCCCCGGCATGCGGAGGTCGAAGGGTTGGACAGGACGCTGTGCGTGTTCTTGGCGAGCGCGGTTCCCAGGACTGCAGAAGCCGCCGGAAAGGGAGCTCCGCGGAGGGGGGCCCGTCGTGGGGCCAGGCTACGGGGTCTTGGCTGAGCGAGTGGACGCGCTTTCTCGCAGGGATCGGGGAGGGGGCTCGCGAAGTGTCAGACAAGGAAGCACACAGCGAGAGGGCAGGGCATGGAGTTGCGGGCGCGATCTGCCTGCATCGCAAAGGCGCGCATGGCAGGGTGCAGGGCAAACTTTCCAGCCAGAAAGCTAGTCCGTGGGCAGACAGACCAAGGCACCCCCTGCCCCTAGCAGGGGGTTGCGCTGATCCCGCCTCCTCCATTTTCCTCTCCTCCTTCCCTTCTCCCTCTTTCCTCCCTGCTTGCAGCATCGCTGTCGAGCGTGTGGGAGGCTCTGGTTTGGATGACTTCGGGATTTAGGGCCTCTTTCTGCCCCTCGCCCCAATGGCTTGTGCAGCACTTCCTTCCCCACGTGGGCATCAAGGTCCTTTATCAGGTTACGGGGCCGAATCCCCCCCTGCGTTTTTGAAGTTTTTGGATTGCTGCTCGGTTTCGTTATTTTTTAGTTGGGGCGTTCGCTTGTTTTTGGGGGTGTACGAAAGGGGGGGTTCTGTCTGAATCGATTCCGATTTCGTTTGCGTCGCGGCCCACGTGCGTTGCGTTTCCGTTTGCGTCGCGACCCCGCAGAGTCGTGGCCAAAGGGGAATGGTTTGCAATTTGGGGGGGCGGGAAAAAAGAAACAAATGAAATAACGCATTCTTTTGTTGTCTCTTTTTTGTTTGCCCCCCTCCTCCCCCTCTCCCATCCTCACACCCCAATCTCACATCCTCCCCTTCACCCCTCTTCTCTTGCCCCCTCTCCTCCCTCCCCCCCCCTTTCAGTCGCATTGCATAGACGTCGCACTGCACTGCGTTGCGATCGCATTACCTTGCATGGCATTGCAACCGCATTGCGTTACAATCGCATTCCGCGTTGGCTCCGTTTGTGCACAATGGTTCGGTGACTCGGGCAGCGATTGGGGGCGGATTGGTAGTCCTATTTTCGTATTGAAGTAGAAGTAGTCCACTTTTGTAGTGCCCGAACACAGTAGTAATATCCTCGAACTCGAGTGTTTTAGCGGCAGTGCTGAAGGAAGAGCGCTGTACTATTGGGGGGTGGGGCTGTACTGTTATAGCAGCGGCACTGTAGAGTCTGTACTCTAGTAAAGTATTCGTATGAGTGGTGTTCTACTATTGCCTGCAGCGGGTGCAGTATTGTACTGTCGTCAATGCCGTCGTATCGCAGCATCGCTGTAGTATTATAGTGCTGTAGTGCTGTAGTGGTGACGCTGTGATAGTCGTAGTACAAATACTTTAGCCGTAGTACTGCAGTAGTGGCACTCTAGTACTGTCCCGGTGGTATTGTGATACCGTGCTAAGCCAGTAGTCGTATTGCATTAATGAAGAGGCAGCACTGTAGCAGTCCTGTAGTTGCAGTGGTACTACTCAGTTTTCGCAGTAATGGTCGTATTCTAGCATTTGCTGTAGCAGTCGAACTGCCGTATTGTAGTAGCAGTGGTCCACTGCTGTAAAGCCCGGGCACAGTAGTAGTAGTAGCATCTTCGGTTTCTAATTCTTCAGTGGTGGTGCTGTAGGAGCACGGCTGTGCTATGGTGGGATCGTGTTGTATTGTTGTAGTAGTGGCGTTGTAAACTCACAGTTGCAATACAGTATTCGTGAGAGTAGTGCCGTACAATTATCTGCAAGGGGTGCGCTGCAGTACTGTAGTAGGAATGTTGTAGCGGTGGCACTGGGCTAGCCGTAGAACAATATTTTAGCAGTAGTATTGCAGTAGTGGCACGCTGGTACTCTACTGGCGGTACTTCGATACCGTGCTCAGCCAATAGTAGTCATAGTATTGCATTCATAGAGTGGCAGCACGGTAGTAGTTATGTAGTCGAAGTAATATTAAGAGTTGTAGTAGTCATAACCGTAGCAGTAGTAGTAGTAGTCGTAGTAGTAGTAGTAGTCGTAGCAGTAGTAGTAGTAGTAATAGTAGTAGTAGTAGTAGTAGTAGTAGTAGTAGTGGTAGTGGTAGTAGTAGTAGTAGTAGTAGTAGTAGTAGTAGTAGTAGTAGTGGTAGTGGTTGTGGTAGAGGTAGTAGTAGTGGCAGTAGTAGTAGTAGTAGTAGTAGTAGTAGTAGTAGTAGTCGTCGTCGGAGTAGTCGTAGTAGTAGTGGTGGTAGCAGTAGTAGCCGTAGTAGTCTTAGTACCCAGGCCTTGCACGAAAAGGTCATCTTGTAGTGCTTGCTTTGGTAGCCGCACCGTCGTATTGTAGCTGAATCGCTGTAGCACTATAGCACTGCAGTGCTGTAGTGGTGACGCTGTAGTAGCCATATTACAACACTGTAGCAATAGTCCTGCAGTAGCGATTATCTAGTACTGTAGTGACGGTACTTTGATACCGTACTAATCCAGTAGTTGTATTTCATAATGCAGTGTCGGCACTGACGTAGTCCTGTCGTTGCAGCGGTAGTACTCAGATCTTGCAATACGTAAAAGCTCCAGTCTAGTACTTTCTGTAGTAGCCGCGCTGTCGTATTGTAGTATAAGTGGCCCACTACTGCAGTAACCGAGCCCAGCCGCAGAATCCTCGAACTGTAGCGGTTTAGTGGTAGCAAGGAGTGTGTTGTATTATTGTGGAATCGTGTTGTTCTTAAGCAGTAGAGCTGTAGAGCAGGACTTCTAGTGCAGCATTCGGATGAGCAGTGCTGTCTGCACTGAATGTACTGCAGTATTGCGATGGGAATTACCAAATGTCGGATTATTGGAGCACGGTTGTCATATTCTTCTATTGTGGTGCATTGGTGGTGCACTGTAATAACCGTAGTACAGCACGGGGGCAGTAGCATTGCAGCGGTAGTATTCAAAAATTGTATTAGTAGTGCAGGGGTACGGGCAGTAGTAGTTTTTGGAGCTCTAACATTGGAGTGCTCACGCAGGGTAGTCGCACCATAGTGGTGCAGTGCCGTAGTAACACTGTATCTGCAGCGCTACATTGGAGTCGAAGTAATACTTTGGTGCATTCGTAGTGGTAGCGTTGGAGTGGTGGCTGGAGGAGCAGTACAGTACTGCAGCATTTTACTAGTGTAGCAACATGCTCGTACGGTCGTGCTGTTGTAGTCGTGATAGCGTTGTGGGGAGTAGTCGTACGAGATCACTTCCGTTGTAGTCCTGTTGTAATAATGTGGTAGTCGTAGTACCCGAGCATTGTAGTAGCACTATTTGGGTTGAGGGTCAGGTTAGGCTTTGGCTGAGGCTGAGCCTGATGCTAGGCTTAGCCCGAGGCTGAGGCTGAGGCTGAGCCCTATGTTTAGGCTGAGGCTGAGACTTAGCCTGAAGCTTAGGCTCGGCTGGGACATTGGATGGGTCTCGGCTAGGCTGCTCAGGCTGATGCTTAGGCTAGGCGAAGGCTGGCGCTCAGGCTTAGGCCGAGGTTCAGGCCAGGCTTAGGCAATGCTTAGGCTGAAGTTTCGGGTAGGCAGTGGCTGAGGCTCACGCTTAGGCCAGGCGTGGGCTAGGCTGGGGCAGAGGCAGAGGCTGAGGCTAAACAGGCTGAAGCTGAGGTTTAGGCGTAGGCTAGGCTTCGGCTAAATTCTGGATGGAATTTAGGCTAGGCTAGGCTGAGGCTTAGGGTAGACTTAGGCTGGTGTTTAGGCTGGGGGCGGTGAGAGAGAGGGGGAAAGGGGAGACGGGAAGCAATGCCGAAGAAAAGCACAGCGGATATACCGCGACGATACCAGTAGCACGATGACGACGCGCCCCGCCCCCCACAAAACAAAATTCAAAAAACGCAGAGGGGGGGATTCGGCCCCGAAACCCCTTGATCAGAGAGTCTAAAGTGCCGCAGGGCGCACACGTCCTCACGGCCCACGCCCACCCCAGACCTCTACGCGTGACGGCTCGCGTGACGGCTCCAGCGGTTGCTGGACTGGATTCGCCTTGTGCCTAGGACGTTTGGCGTGTTCGGGGTGGGGGAAAGCCATACCAGTCCGCTACTCCACGGAGCTCTCTTGAAGTGCGTTCAGAGCAGGGTTTCGAGGCGCATCTAGCCGTGGCGACGGGTAGCAGTCAGGGTACTTGTTTCTTCCTCTGAAGTTTCGGCGGCTCGAGGCGACCAGCCCTCCGCGGGCCGCGGGGAGTCGCCGAGCGCTCTAAGAAGAGGCGCCTTGTGGTCGGTGCCACATACCACACTAGTACTATGTGGCGTCGCCCCCCCAGGGGCGACGCGCGCACCGAGAAATCTTAGAATGCATGCGTCGTGGCGGGCGCTTTCTGGCCACACCGCTCGGGAAACGATATACGTACTACAAGGTGGATATACAATATGTTCGGCTCGGACGCGCGCCTCCAGGGAGGACACATAGTATTAGTATGTCTCTGGGCGTCCACGGGGCCCTCTCTCCGCGAGGCTGCCTCCTTTTCCGCACGGCTGCCCTCCGCGGGCCAGCCGCGCCAGCCGTGCGCGCTGGAGTGCGCCTGCCGGATGCTGCGGCCCGTGGTGGCGCCCGCGCGGGTGGGCGGCGGCATCCTGGTCGAGGAGCGCCCAGCGGCTTCCAGCCCTCCTCCCCGGGACTCCTCCTCTTCCTCCTCCTCCTCCTCCTCCTCCTCCCCGTCCCCCTCGATCCTGAGTCCTTGATCCCCCTCATACTTCCCCTCCTCCTCCTCCTCCTCATCCTCCTCCTCTTGCTACAACCTCCTCCCTTCTCCTCCTCCTCCTCCTCCTCCTTCTCCTCCTTCTCCCTCTTCTCCTCCTCCTCCTCCTCCTCCTTGTCCACCTCCTCCTCCTTCTTCTCCTGCTCCTCCTCCTCCTCCCTTTTCTCCTCCTCCTTCTCCTCCTCCTCGTCGTCCTCCTCCTCCTACTCCTCCTGGGATCCTTGTATACCGTCTTAGTTCCGTCTATAGCGTCGACTCGCATCGAGTAGCGTTTGGTCATCAGAGAGTAGGCGCTGGTTTAGCGTCGATTAGCGTCGTCAAGCGTTGATTAGCGTCGATTCAGCGCGTGTCACCGTCGATGAACGTCGATCAGCGTCGGCCAACAAGACGGTATGGGAGGCTCCCATGAGTCGCCACAAAGCTCCCCCTTCCATCTCCTCCTTCCCTCGTGGTTCGAGGATCGAGGTTCGATTTCGGAAGGGGCTTGATTGTTCTGGGGCGCTCTCGTGGCCACGGCTGGACCCGCCTTGGAATTTTGGTGAGAACGCACCCCAGGAGAGGCCCGTGGTCAGGGTTGGAATCTTGGGGGGGGGCGCCCATACGGTTCGAGGTTCTCGGATGTTCTCGGCGGCGTTCTGGCCTCGGTGTGTGTGTGTGTGTGTGTGTGTGTGTGTGTGTGTTCCAGCAGCCTCGCCTGGCCCAGAGTGTCCCAGAGGTGTCCGGATCGTCGCGCGCGGCCGCCAGGGAGCCACGTTACGACTTGGAAGCCAGGGGAACCACGATGCGGGGGAGTTCTGGGCCTTCTAGATGGGGTCCGAGTAGATGGGGTCGGAGGACGGATCCGCATCGCTGATGCATTGGCGATGCGGTTCGATGCGGAGCCCCATTTTGTCTACGACGGTGTCGCCGATGCATCGCCGACGTCGACAATGCATCGCCGATGCATCACCGATGCATCGCCGCTGCATCGCCGATGCGTCGCCGATGTGGCGCGATCCTCCGACCCCATCTACTCCGACCCCATCTACGCACGCACGCACTCACGCACGTACGGACGCACACACGCACACCCCACCCACACACACACAAACACACACACACACACACATAAACAGACACACACACACACACACACACACACACACACACACACACGCGCGCACGCACGCACGCACGCGCGCGCACGCACGCACGCACGCACGCACGCACGCACGCACGCACGCACGCACGCACGCGCGCATGCACATTGATGCACGCACACACACACACACACACACACACACACACACTCGGGGCACGCCAGATGGGGGGTGTTGGTAGGACGAAGTCTGTTGCGTGCGGCGGCCATGCTGACGCCCCCCCCCCCTCCCACGCGAGCAGCTAGCCGCACGATCTCCCCGCCAGCGGGCAGCCGCTCCCGCGCGCCCCCGGGATGCTGCCCCCGCCCTGGCCTGGAACTCCGCCTCCCGCCCTTTCTTTGTGACCGGGGCGCTCCTCGCTTCTGGCCGTTCCCCACCGGCTCCTGGCCCGCTCCCAGACGTATACTCCAGATTTCGTAATAAAAGGGAGGGGGTCTCATTTGGGGGGGGGGGTCTCTTCCAGACTATCTTGGAGGGCCTGGGGGGGTCTGGGGACGATGTTTTGGAGGGTTCTCCCACGGGGGGGGGTCTGAAATGGCTTGTCTTGGAGGGTCCAGACCCCCTCGCTTTTATTACGAAATCTGGGGTATCCTCCGACATCACTTCTGTCGATGCGCGGCCCCAGCTCCCCGAGCGCGCTCCGCTACTCGCAGACTGCCTGCTCGCAAACGCCCGAGAAAGCGCACGTTTGCCTCGATCGCGCATCTCCCGCGGCGTATCCAGGCCGTTTGCGAGAAGCTATTCTGCGAGTGGTGGAATGCGATTGTCTACCAAATGTCACAACCCCCTTCCCCGAGGCGAGTTTTTCACCCCCAGGCCCATTACTGACTGCGGGCCGACAATCGAGGCCCCAGAGGCCCCAATCGAGGATCGACCGCCGGCCGAGATAATCATATCGTTAAGTCGGGCCTGTCCCCCTACAGGGGGATTTTCTACGAAAAATAAAGAATACCCCAAACATACCCAAAACATAGTTCCAAAATAATCCAAAAATAGCATGGGGATTAGTTGTGCGGTATGTTCTAACATGTTTTATATATGTTTGGGGTATGTTTTTTATTTTTCGTCGAAAATCCCCCTGTAGGGGGACACGCCCGACTTAATGATATCGTCGGGGATCTGGGGCGCCAGGACCTGGGCGACAGCTCCTGCACGTTCGGCGTGGGCCTCTTCGCGGGGGACGAGGACGCCCCCTTTGCCGTGGCCACCGCCAGGTACTCGCGGGCGGCTCAGCCGGCACTCGCGATGATGGAGAGCTCCCCGTCTTGTCGCGAATCACGGTTACTGCTCTCTCGGATCTATGGCCTGGTCTTCCTCCTCCTCCTTCTCGTCCTCCCCCTCCTCCGAACATGATCGAGGGGGAGCGCCCTAAGTCGGGTAAGCCCCCGTAGTTTCCCCCGAGTCTAGGTGGCTGGCCTAATGGGTTGGGCTTGCCGTTGCCTCCCATTTCATTCCGAGCGCTGGCGGGAGACTTGATGGCGTCTCTATGGCTTGTATCCTTGTTTCCTTGCTGGTTCGCTGCAGGAGATGCGACTAGAGGGGGGGCGCGAAGGTAAATCTTTGGGCCCCCCACCCAGAACAAATTCTAGAAACCTTTTCAGAGGTCTTGGATCTTGAATGGGAAGTGAGGGGGAAACCCCTCCCAAACTGCCTCCTCCGCTTCGCCTCCTCCAGGGCCTGCTGAGAGCCTCTCCTGGGCATGCCCTACCATGGTCCACAGTTCGAGTCTTTCCAACGATCTTCATGGCTTGACCACGGCAGAGCGGGGCTCACTACCCGAGGGCTGACCTGAAACAGCAAGTCGGCTTGGCGACCCTCGCCGGGTCCTGCGGCCACCCGCAGCTTGTCGGCGGGAAGGGCGCCGAAATATGTCCAGCTGCCTGCGGAAAGCCCCGCCACCGTGTCAACTGTCTATCGGGACGATCGATACGGGTACGGAAACAATGCGTACAACGTCCAACAGCAGTCCTTGTTCATTCTGAACAGGCTTTGTTGTCTGCGTCGCCGCGGCCGTCGTCCAGTTGGTACAGAAGGCCCCCTGCCATACAGCGGCCTCTGCCGGGATTGGACAACATTTGTTGTTGGTGATCGTTTTCTTATTCATTGTTTTGCCGATCGGCGCGGGCCCTCGCACCTCCCGCCTCCCCCCATGGAGTACATCTTGGCTGTTTCTGGCGCCTGTCTCAAGCAGGTGGAGTCCCCCCCCCCATGGGACGCACCGTTGCGAGCTAGACCGCCCCCCTCCCCCCCTTCCGCCCACTGTCGAAAACAGAAGTCGACCGAAACGGTGTTTTGGGGATTTCGTGGGCCGTTTTCGTTTCGATCTCGTTTTGCAGCAGAGGCGGACTGGAGAGAGAGCGAGGGAAGCAGAAAACAGCACGACAACGAAAAACAAACACTGCTTTGGTCGAGCCCCCTGCTCGAAACGCCAAAGAAGGAATCTTCTTCGTAGCCCTCCCGGGCGTCCACCGTGCACCCCGGGCGGTGACTGCCCGAGGGGCGTCACGCGGGAGGGCCGCAGAGCACGCGGCACGTTCTCCTTGCACGCCGTGCCTCGGCGTGTGCGTGCCTCGCCTCGTCCCCGGCATTGGCCTCGCGGGGTGCCTGGCGCTCCCTGTCTGCTGGGCTCCCTCGAAGAAGAAGAGGCCATGGCATAAGCATATAAACTGTTGGCGCCCCGCGCGGGACATGGGCATAAATTTGTGGCATGCATGTAGACGTAAGCATAAAAGATAAGCTGGGACCCCCCTGGCGGCGCCTCCAGCGCCGCCCCTGGCGCGCTCCGCGCGCCAGGAAGCGGGGTCCAGCGCGGATCCAAGATATTCGCGCGGCGCGCCAAAAGTTTATCTCAATGGCGTTGGTTCTTCTGTGTGTTCCTCTTGCCCCACCTCCTCGTCGTCTCTCCTCCTGCCCCCTCCTCTGTGTGTCCAGGCCTCCTGGAAGGGGTCGGAGTAGATGGGGTCGGGGGATCGCGCCGCATCGCCGATGCCGCTCGCTGTGGAGCCACGTGGCCGGTGCCGATGCATCGCCCACGTCGACGATGCATCGCCGATGTATGACCGATGTATCGGCGATTCGGCGCGTTCTTCCGACCCCATCTACTCCGACCCCATCTTGGAGGCCTCTAGTGTGGGGGACGCTTAGAGCACCGCCCAAGCGGCCGTGACGTGTGGTGCCTCGGCCATCTCGGATTTATCTTGAACTTTTGGGAGGCTCTCTTGGGGCGGAGTCGGAGGATAAAGGAACTGAAGGTCATGCAGGAAGAGGAGGAGGATAGTGGCGGACGAAGCGGATGAGGAACATAATGCCGATGCTATTGCGGAGTAGGAGAAGGAATATGACGGTCGTCGCACGCATGTGACACGCTTTTCGTCTTTACTTCTTGAGGAGCTCTCATGGGGCTTATCTATGCCGTCTTGGTGCGGACTTGGGTTGTGGGGAGGTTTTGGGGGTCTCTTGGGGCCCTCTTGGGCTGTTTTAGTTCCCTCTTTGGTCGTCTTGGGGCCGTCTTGAGGCCGTCATGGGGCCCTCCAGGGGGTCTATTGTGCCAGCTTGGGGCTCACTTCAGGCCGTCCTGGGCCTGTAGGGGCCCCCATCGAGGCTCGCGGTATTCTATTTGGGTCGTCGAAGACTGCAGATGGGCAGACCTTGGACTCCAGAGCGTGGAAAGCAAAAAACAATAAGACACATCTGGAAATTACTGCTTTGGCTTCCCGAAAGCCCCATGGAGGGAGGAGCCATCGGGTGCGTCTTGAGGCGGTCTTGGGCTATCTCGGCAGCATATTGGCCGTCTTGCAAATAGATCATCTGAGGCATCTTGGACGCTTGTAGAAAGCGCCAGGGAAGTGTCAGGGTGCCCAGGGAGCCCCTGCAGGGGGGAACGACATAGGCCACGAGATGTGTCGCGAGGGAGGATCCCTTCGAAGATCTTCAGGAACCCTGCCAGGCAGCAGCTGACATTTTACCACGTGTCGACATCTAAGTCGGGCGTGTCCCTCTACAAGAGGAGTATTCAAAACTTGTAAAACATACTCAGGGGACGATTGTTCGACCTTGTTTGACCATCTTTGGATCTGTTTTGATCATTTTTCTTTTTTCGTTTCACATCCGCCTATAGGAGGACATGCCCGACCTAAAACGAGATGTGCCGAGAAGGGGGGTGGATCTCTTCAAAGGTTTTCAGACACCCTGCCAGGCAGCATCTGGCACTCTAGCACGCCTCGACGTGCCGAGGGGCACGGTTGCGGACAAACATCACAACTCGCCCCCCCCGTCTCCCAGACGGTTCCTGGCTCTCAGCCCGTGGGCTGCTCCAGGAATGAAGATTTGCCAGCCCGGCGCCCCAGCCAACGCGAGAAGCCAAGGTGGGTGGACCTGTCTTCTTCAGGCCCGTCGTGGTTCGAAACCGCGAGCTGGCGGGAGAGCTAAGTTGAGGACGGGGTTGCTGAGGGGAAGGCTCATAGGAATGGGCAGCACGCACGCATGCATCCGATTCGCACTCCCGTCCTTCTCTGCGAGATGTGCTCTTGTGAACGGCCACCAGGACGGTGCAGGTAAGTACAGTGGAGATCCATGCGAAGAAACACCCTGATTGCCTCCAGGGTGCCCTGGATTTCTTAGAATTCGATGGCTTTGCCATGGAAAGCGTGACGGTCCCATCCCAAAAATCAATGGACGTCTTGGGGTCTCCACGTTGGGTTTCTTGTTTTTTGTGGACTAGCCTCCACTGTATCAGACCTCAGTCGGACACAGACGTTGTCATCCGGGAAAGTCCACGGGGGAGGCAGCGGAGGTTGGCGACGAGGAAGAGCCTGGCAGCAGCGCGAGCAGGAGCAGCGGCAGGACAAGGAGGACACGGACGAGGGTAAGGCCCTGAGAACAGGACCAGAGTAAGTGATCGTTTTCTTATTCATTGTTTTGCCGATCGGCGCCGGTCCTCGACCCCCCCCCATGGGACGCACGGTTGCAAACCGTCGCGCTAACAAGAGGTCTGGAGCCATCCCCGCCCCCTCCCCCCCCCTTTCGCCCAATGTCGCTACACGCACTCTTTTCCATGTTCTTTCCGCCCTAGTCGCTACACGCACGCTTTTCCACTAGGCGGAGCGTCTCTCTTCGGCGCCCCATTTGCCCGCACTTCAGGCGAGAAGTCCCTGTTGAAAGACACCGTTCTCCATCCTACGAGCTATGAGCAATTCGACCCGATGGGGTCGCAACGTTCAAGGGAATGCCGAGCAGCAGCTCCTTTTTGAAAACGAACCACCGTTCATATTGGCAATTGGCGCGCCACATACTATAACAAAGTCGCAAGCGAGAGCCCTATTTGGAGTCGGAGCCGCCCTGTGGTGGCGAATGTGGAGGAGCTGTCAGGCGAGGGCCCCCCTTGTGAACAACGCCCGTCCTCCGTCCGCGTAGCCGTTGGAGCACTGAAGATCCAGGTGTCGTCGCAGCCGAGGCCGCCGATCATGCAGGTGTTGTTTCTGTCAGACCATCCTGAAGTGTTGGACCCAAGAAGTGAGTCCGCAGCGTCACGTGCCCACTCCTCCTCCCCCTCCCCTCCTGCCAGTGCCATCTGCACGTCTCTGCTGCGACGCGCCCCCCCACGCGTTTCGCCACCCTCAGGGAAGAATTCCTCCGGCGGCTCCCGTGGCAGTGCTCACGTGTGCCCTCGCGCTCATGTCGGCACACCTTTTATCCGCCTCGGGGCCGCACAGTGGGCTCTGCCCCCGCGCCCGTTTCGGCACACCCCTCGCGCGCTCCGTGGCCCCACAGGGGGCTCCACGGGCTTCCGCCGAAGGCTCCCGTGGCAGGGCTCGCGTACGCCCCCGCGCACGCTGCGGCACCCCCCTCATGCGCCACGTGGCCCCACAGGCTGCTCCACCGAAGGCTCCTTTGGCCGAGTCGCATGCGCCCCGTGCCCGTTTCGGCGCACCCCTCACGCGTTCCGGGGCCCCACAAGGGGGCTCCATCAAAGGTTTCTGTGGCAGAGCTCACACGCGTCCCCGCGCCCACGGGGCTCCACCAAAAGGTTCCCGTTGCACGGTTCGCACTCGCCCCCGCGACCATGTCGTCGCCCCCCTCACGCGTTTCGTGGCCCCAGGGGGGGGTCCTACCGAAGACGGCATTCACAACCGCGTGTGGTTGGGTCTTTCACTTGGCTGAAATTCGGCGGATGTGCGCGGCGCCGAGGCAAGAGCCCCGTTCTGATTTCGGCACCGGTTTGCCCTCTACCAGTGGAAGTGTTGGAACATGTAAGACGGGTGTGCGCGGTGACAGGGCGAAAACCCCATTTCGAAAGCGACTCACCCTCCATATGTGTAGTCGTTGAAAACTCTGAAGCTTTAAATTTGTAAACCGTCGGGACGTCTCAGACGAAACGCCCAGCCCGCCCTCCCGACACGTCGGGTGTTGCGGCAGGGAGGGGCTAATCATATGAAATTCTTCTCGTGGGGGAGGGCTCGGAGAGGTTGAGGATGATGAGGGGGAGCAGGGAATACGAGAGGGCTGGGAGGAGGTGAAGAAGAAGAGGACGCAGGGGAAGGACGAGAGCATGATAAGGAGACGGTGGGGGAGGGAGGAGGGTCCGAATGAGGATTAGGATGACAGGGAGCAGAACGAGAAGAGGGAGCGGGAGTAGGAGAAGGAGCAGGAGGAGGAGGAGGAGGAGGAGGAGGACGAGGACGAGGACGAAGACGACGACGAGGCCGAGGACGTGGTCGCGGAGGAGGAAGTATGGGGGGAGGAGGAGGAGGAGGAGGACGATGAGGAGGAGGACGATGAGAAGAAGAGGAGAAGGGATGGGGAGGTGGACTTTTTGAACTCGGGATGGGTGCCCGCAGTCAGAGGCGGGAAAGAAGCAGGGCAAGCGGAGGCGACTCCGTGCCCAGCAGGACGAGCGGAGCTCGACCTGAACCGATCCTTGATGAACAGCAGCACACCAAGGTGACCACCAGAGCAGAGCATTGGAAGTGAGAAAAACAGGCACTAGCGGTGCACCTAGAACCATACGATTTCGTGCCGAAAAGCCAGCATTACCTGCCTCACGGTATTTTCGAGCTGCGCCCAACCGTAACGACACGCCTCACGCCAGGAGGCCGTGCCGCCCCGATAAGCCTCCGTGGGGCACCACTCCCGCGACAGACCGCCCCACCCCACGCGCGCCGGGCGGGGAACCACGGCCGTGGGAAGGCTGGGTGGGGGTACCCCGATGAGCCGCCCGCAGGCGACCCGCCCACCCCCACGCACGCCTGGGTGGGGTACCCAGACCGTGGGGGGCATGGGTGGGCAACAAAACGTGGCGACGATAAGGGGGGGCTACCCAAAGAGGAGAAAGCCGCCAGCCGCCCCCCACCGACAGCGAGAGGGCGGAGCCCTCTGACCGCCGAGGGGCCCACGCGGCTGGCAGCCACCCGGGGTAAGGAACGCCACAGGGCGGTCGCCCCTGCCACTCCTGGGCAGGGGCGCTGGCCCCACCGCTTTGGGCAGGGGCCCCTACCCGCCTCCGCCAAAGTCCTGCGGGTGGTCGCCGGAGCCCAGGCTGCTGCCGCTTCTCCGCGGGTGGCAGGCACTCCATGCCTGGCCTGACGGCAAGGATGGGGAGGTGGAGGATGAGAAGGAGGAAGAGGAGGAGGAGGAGGAGGAGGAGGAGGAGGAGCAGGACGTGGGGGAGGGAGACGGAGAGGAAGGAGGATGAGGATGAGGAGGAGGAGGAGGAGGAGGATGAGGATCAGGAGGAGGAGGAGGAGGAGGAGGAGGATGCGCAGGAGAGGAGGATCGAGGTCCACGGACTCCAGGACGGGGCACCTCGTCCTGCCTCCCCCCCTTGCCCCAGGCCCTCCGCAGCAGCTCCCCGCGGACGTGCGCGCCGCCTGCGAGCAGCTGCGCCGTGGCAGCCCTCCTCCCGCCCATCCTCCTTCTCCCGCTCCGCCTCCCGCTCCTCCTCCCGCTCCTCCTCCTCCGCCTCCTCCTCCTGCTCCCCCTCCTCCTCCTCCCCCTCATCCTCTTCTTCCTCCTCCTCCCATGAACCCTTTTGGGCACGTTCGACCTCCTCCTGCCGCTCCTGCTCCCCTTCCTCCTCATCCTCCTCCTCCTCCTCATCATCCTCGTCCTCCTCCTATGAACACTGTCTCGCACGTTTGACCTTCTCCTCCTGCTCGTCCTTCTCTTCGTCCTCCTCATCCTCCTCCTCCTCCTTCCGCTCCTCCTCCCGCTCCTCCCGCTCCTCAATTCCTCCCTGTCGCACATTGAGGCCAGTCGAAAGGCCGGGCCTGGCGTTTCTCTTGAGATTTCTTCACCACTCATGATCCTGAAGCCGGAGGTTGGCAAGATTTTCGTGGAGGGGGGGCGGTCCGTTTTCAAAATGCGGTTCTCGCCGTAGCGCCGCGCGGCTCTCGCCGTAGCGCCGCGCGCACTCGTCTTGAATATGTTCAAGGTTTTAACGGATGGAGGGTGGCCTGCTTTCGAAACGAGGTTCTCGCTCCAGCGCCGCGCACATTCGTTTTAAACAGTTGCACGAGCTTCACGGATGGAGGGCGGTCCGCTTTGAAAAAGCGGCTCTCTGCAGCGTCCTGCGCATTCGTTTAAATTGCTTCCAATAGCTTCACGGATAGAGGGTGGTCCGTTTTGAACATGTGGTTTTCTCCAGCGTGGTTTTTTCAAGGGCTTCACGAAAGGAGGGCGGTCCGCTTTCAAAGTGTGGTTCTCGCTTTACCGCCGCGAACTATATTTTCAACTACGCGCAGTGGAGAGCGATCCGCTTTAAAACTGTTGCTATCGCCTTCGCGCCGCGCACATTCGTTTAAACAGTTTGAAAAAGCGCGTTCTGAGGTCGCTTGGAGGGGGGGGTGGTTGGACCCCCCCCTCCCCTTGGATGGATGGGGGGGAGGGGTTCGAACCCCCCACCCGCCACCCTTCCCGTGACGGAGGGGTGGGTTCGACCCCCCCCCATCTCCTATTCATCCTCTCTCCCTCTCCTCCGGCCGGCGCCTGCGTCGGCGGCGGCTGGCGGCTGCGGCGGGGACGACGACTTCCTTTTCTGGGCCGGGGCCGGCGCCTGCGGCGGCGGGCGGCGGCGGTGGGGAGCGTCGACGACGACGACGGTGGTGGTGGTGGCGGTGGTGGTGGGTTGTGGTGGTGGCGGTGGCGGTGGTGGTGGTTGTGGTGGTGGTGTGTGGTTTGTTGTGGTGGTGGTTGTGGTGGTGGGTGGTGGTGGTGGTGGTGGTGGTTGTGGTGGTGGTTTGGTGGCGGTGTGGTGGTGCTTTGTGGTGGTGGTTGTGGTGGTTTGGTGGTGGTGCGATGGTGGTTTGTGGTGGTGGTGGTGGGTTGTGGTGGTGGTGGTGGTTTGGTTGTGGTGTGTTGGTGGTTTGGTGGTGGTGGTGGGTTGTGGTGGTGGCGGTGGTTTGTGGAGGTGGTGCTGATGGTGGTGTTGGCGGTGGTGGTGGAGGTAGTGTGGTGGTTTGTGGTGGTGGTGGTGGTGGTGGTGGTTTGTGCCGTTGGTAATGGTGGTGGTTGTGGCGGTTGTGGTGGTGGTGTGGTAGATTGTGGTGGTGGTAGTGGTGGTGGGTTTTTGCTGTGGTTGTGGTGGTGGGTTGTGGTGGTGGTGGTTGTGGCGGTGTTGGTGGCTGTTGTGATAGTGGTGGTGGTTGTGTGGTGGGTTGGTGGTGGTGGTGGGTTAAGGTAGTGGTGGTGGTGGTGGTAGTGGTGGAGGTTGCGGTGGTAATCGTCGCTGCGTCTCCGCCGTGGCCGGCGCTGGTGCCGGCGCTGCTGGCCGCCGCCAGTGCCGGCGCCGGCGCCAGGGGGGGTGTCCAAACCCCTCCCCACTTTGGGCTGCCTCTGGTCATCGTCGCTGCGTCCCCACCGTCGGCGCTGCTGACGGCCGCCAGCGCCGGCGCCGGCGCTGGCGCCCAGGGGGGGGGGTTCGAAACCCCCCAACGGGGGGGGGGTCGGGGGGTGGGGTTGGGGGGGGGGAGTCCCCGAGTCCCCCTGGTTTTGATCGACGGCGCCGAATGTTGGGGGGCCCCTCCCCCCGTTTCGAAACGCGCCGACGAATGCTCCAAAGGCAAGCGCTAGTGAAACGCGCTCTTTCAACAGTTTATATTGAGTTCACGGATGAAGGGCGGCCTGCTTTCAAAGTGTGGTTCTCGCCTCAGCGACTTGCTTTTTGTTTCTAACTATGCGCAGTGGAGAGCGGTCCGCTTTAAAACTGTGGCTATCGCCTTGGCGCCGCGCGCACTCGTTTTAACAATTAGTATTGACCTCACGGATGCAGGTCGGCCCGCTTTCAACATGGTAACATGTGGTTCTCGCCTCAGCGCCGCGCACACTCGCCCCTAGCATGTGCAAAAATTTTACGAATGACTGGCGGCTCCTTTTCAACATGTTGTTCGCGCTTGGCGCCGTGCGCATTCGCCTGAAAAGTTAGCAGCAGTGTCAAGGTTTCGCACGGTCAACGTCCCAGAAGTGGTGTTTTGACACGATGTCGACATGCCAGGGCTTAGCTGACACGTTGCTTCGCGGTGCTGAAGTCCCAGGAGCGGTGGTCTGGCACGGTTCTGGATTGTCAAGACGCAACAGTGACGGTGCTGCGCCGCGTTGAAGTCCCAGGGCTGGTGTTCTGGCACAGTTCTGGATTGTCAAACGATTGTCGTCCAACGGGGCATTCTCCTCAGTGAAACTGGGTCCTGGTATGGGGCCTGTGAAAAAAAAGGGAGCTTGGAAGGAGGGTTTACTGCGTTCTCGTTGGTGAGTCTTGGATTTACATTGGTGCTCCTCCTCCCCCCGCTCCTCGTCCTCATCCTCGTCCTCATCCTCGTCTCATCGTCCTCATCCATCTCGTTTCCCCCCTTCGGCTGCAGGTGGTAGACCCCTACGCTCGTTTCCTCCTCTTCCCGCTCTTCTCAAGACGGCCCAGCAGGCTCCCAAGGCGGCCCCTAAAGGGGCCCCCGACGGCACAGGAGCGCCAGCTCTTCAGCGCCCTGGGGGGGGGGCCAAGAGACGGCCCAGAGAGGCCCCCCCCGTAGACGGCCTCCGAAGGCGTCCGCCGGGCCAAGACCCCGAGCCGGCCCGTGAGGACCCCCAGACACCCCCAGGCACCCCCCGAGAGGCTCCGAAGCCCCATGCGGCCCCCAAATAGACTCTCAAGATGCCTCCACGAAGCCCCCAGGATGCCCTAAAATAGCCCCAATGAGTCTCCGTTTCCCCCTCCTCCTCCTCCTCCTCCTCCTCCTCCTCCTCCTCCTCCTCCTCCTCCTCCTCCTCCTCCTCCCCATCCTCATCCTCATCATCATCATCCTCCTGATCCTCCTCCTCCTCCTCCTCCTCCTCCTCCTCATCATCATCATCATCATCATCATCAGCATCATCATCATCAGCAGCAGCATCAGCATCAGCATCAGCATCATCGTCATCATCATCATCATCATCAGCAGCATCGGCATCAGCATCAGCATCAGCATCATCATCATCATCAGCATCATCATCATCATCATCAGCAGCAGCATCATCATCATCATCATCATCTGCATCACCCTCATCAGCATCATCAGCAGCATCATCATCATCCCGCTTCATGTTTCCTTCTACTTACAGGTACCTCCTCTTCCTCGCGACGGGCGTTTCGCCTGGAGGATCCCTACCTGTTGATGGTCTCGAAAGTTGCTGCCGTTTTGTCCAGCGGTTTCGCTGATGGACAGTGGTGGTTTTCTCATGTCGTTCCCGCCTAAGCGTCGCGCACACAGAATCTTGCAAGCTTCAAGCAGTTACACTGTTTTGAGCGGGGGTCAACATGTGGTTCTCATTTCAGCGCGCCACATCGTCTGACAAACTTCCAACGGCAGTACATGGGCGGAACATGGAGCCGTTCTCAAACATGTTGTTGGCCACGCTATACCCCAGAGTTCCCTTTGAGTCCGTTCGGCGTGTGGGCCCGCTCGGCCGCCGAATAGACCCGCGATCGAGCCCATTTGGCGGCCGAGGGGGCTCATTTCCTTCGACCCTGTCGGAGCTGAGCCCGTTCGGCTGCCCGTTCGGCGGCCGAACGGGCTCAGACGCCGAACTGGCTCAGAAGGGAACCGCGGGGTACGGATGGGGCGATCCCTCTTTCAAATTGTTGCCCTTGCCTATTCTAGCGCCGTGCACATTCGTACTATATCTTCCAACCGCGGCACGGGCAGAGGGTGGTTCCTTCCCAAAATAGAGTTGACGTGTGTGGATTCTTTGTAAGTCATGAGCTTAAGCGTAAAGCCGTGCTCTAGACCTTTATCCGCATGGAGGGCGTGTTTTTCCAATCGCGGCGATTGTGTTCGACATGTTGTTCGGTTGTATGTCCAAGCATGTAAGGTTACAGAACAGTTGCACGGTTTGACTCGCATCTTGCTGCTCATAGTATTCCCCCCTTTCGTGGGCGGGCAGCATTTCCGCATTCATTCGCGGACTGGGCCCTGGTGCCGCGACTCTTTGGATGCGGACGTGTTCGCGGATGCCCCGCGCTGAACGAATCCATGCGACCACATACCCAGCACTGGACTGCGCCCCCAGAACCCAGACCGCGAGGGCGTGTACCTGGACACATATTTTCGCCGCTCGTGTCCCCCGCTTATCCTGGTCCACCCCTGCCCCACCTCCTTCTCCTCATCCTCCTCCTCCTCATCTTCATCTTCCTCCTCCTCCTTCTCCTCTGACTCCTCCTCATCCTCCTCCTCCTTCAGCGGACGAAGAGAAAGGTATAAACCGATATGTTGCGTCGTCGGGAACGCGTGACTCAGGGCTGTTGGAAAGCCTATACCCCCACGGTGGTGCGCCGGGGCACAGCAGCCTCCCAGCCGCCCTTGGGGGCACGCGCCCCTGGCGGCGGACAAGTCTGCCTCATACACCGCCCCTCCTCCGCCAGCTTCCGGTGTCGGCGGCGAAATTCGCACCCTGCCCTCGCCGATCAT